CTCTCTCTCTCTCTCTCTCTCTCTCTCTCTCTCTCTCTCTCTCTCTCTCTCTCTCTCTCTCTCTCTCTCTCCTATTATGACAATATGCATTAAACTTATTTGTTCATTAGGATCGATTAAATGTTACCTGCTCTTCCCTTTTAACCCAGGGCTTTTAACTCTTACTAGGTTAAGACATGTGTCTTCTGTGGAATGAGATACTTCTTATATTATGAATGTTACTCTAGGTAATAATCTGCGATTTGCGTGAAATGTGATTATTAATTTGATTATTTTTAGTAAAGAGATATTAAATATCTTTAATCTGAATATATGTTTGGGGTTTAGCTTGTTTTTTTTTTGTTTTAAATCTCCTAAAATTTAATTATTATCTTAAATCAATATTTATTTTTGTTTGCTTGGTTAATTTTTTTTTGATGTTTTTAATTGTTTTGGTGACAACCAAAAATTACTATTATTTATTTGTTTTCATGTTATCAATTTTTGATAGTCTTGATGTCAAAATAATGGTTTCATATTATATTTTCTAAATGAATAATAATTAAAGAAAAAATGTAAATTATTAAGACAAATCATTTCACTACAATTTGGTGGGTAGTAAAAGAAGCATTAAGAAAAAGAATATTTCAACTAAAAAAAAAATAGATACTTCAGTTGTGGTGAATACTCAATTATAAGGGGCTCACATCAAGCTGCACATGTATATGTATGTAAAAGTATATAAAATTAGTTGATAAATATATAAAGATACTGTTAATTAAATTAAATAAGCTTATTGTTCAAATTAACACAAGAAAGATAAATATTTTGAAATAAAATTTATTAAAAATAAAATAAACATAGACATTAGTGATTTTCTTGATATAAAGAAACTAAAACTTTATCCGTAAATATGGGTGGGCAGGGATCGAATGTTCGAGTATTTGGAGGCATTCGTGTCAATTTGATCTTTACCCACCTAGATATTATGTGATTCGGAAATCCAATTTTTTTTTAGAACTGTAAAGAATATCCGAGTTGATCAGTAAATAAAATAAAAATAAAGAAAAAAACTAATAATAATATTTTATTTCAAAAAGAAATTTTTTGAATTTTTTAAATTCTATTAAATTTAATACATAAAAATATTGTAAAACTTATATAAACTATAATATATATAACATATATATAACATATATATACATATATATACATTATTATATATAATTCTTTACATATATGTATATATATATGCATATAACAGAACAAATTGGATATCCGTTCATACAGATATTGGTATTTGTTGATTTGTTTCCTTTTCGGATATTGTATTTTAGTATTTGATTTACTTCGTAGAGTTACAGATATCCAGATTTTTTTGGTTTAGATCAAAATTGATAACGAATTGAATCTAAATTTATGAATATTTTTCTAAGCGAGAAATTCTTGGGTTCCCCCCATAGGGTGAATCTCTAGGTTCACCAACCAATAGGATTTCATTATTTCATACTCAGTATCTGTTAAAAAGGAAACAAAATATTATCGAGTTATATTATGTTATTCAAATAAAAAGATGAAAATAAATAAAAAATAGTAGTAGTTGCAAACAAAAATATTTTTTTTTTAAATATTTTTAATACCATTTGCAAAACACTAAATCCTAAACCCTTGGATAATTCCTCAACCCTTGGATTTATCTTAAACCCTAGGATTTATGATTAATCCAAAGGTTTAGAGTTTATCCAAGGCCTTAGGATTTAGAATTTAAGGTTTAATGTTTAGTATTTTGCTAACGGTATTAAAATATTGTTTAAAAAGTCAAGGATTTATCCAAAGGTTTAGGATTTACATAAGGGTTTTAAGGTTTTAGGATTTAAGGTTTAGTGTTTTGATAATACTATTACAAAAATAAATTTTTTTTGCAACTACTATTTTTTTTTATCCTTAAATTTTTAAAACATAATATAACTCGACAATATTTTGTTTTCTTTTTAAAAAGTTACTGAATAAAAAATAATGTAATCCTATTGGTTGCTGAACCCAAGAATTACTCTTTCTAAACATTATCGATATACAATAATATATATAATTTAGTATTCGATTCGTAATTTATTTTGATTTGAACCAAAAAATTCAAAGTCTTAAGGGTTGGCTGCCTATTCCCCCCCCCCTCTAGATACATAAACCCTACTTATTTCCCCCCAAACAATTAAGTTCTTCACTAACCCACCCAAACATATACTTTCTCTTCATATATCCTCCCAAACTCTTTAAATCCCCCTTTCTAATTGAATTATCAAATTAATGAACCATAAATCCCGTTTAAGAATTAGTGATTGCCCAATCAAAATTAAACCGACCCAAGAATTAAAAAACGATCCAGATTTCATAACATTATCAACCCCAAATTGAATTGGGGATTATGTTTTTTTTTTTGTTTTTTTCTCGACACATAAACAACGAGAGAGAGTTTCAGGAACAGAAACGAGAGAGTTGCAGGAACAGAAACGATAGAGAGACACAGGAGCAGAGAAGAGAGAGACAATGGGTGATATCTTGCATATTTTCATTGTTTTACCCATTCATCCATGAGAATTTTCATCATATAGATTAGGATTTAGCCATGTATAGGTTACATTTTGCATTCATTGTCCTTATTAGGTGTTGGAATGTGCCATGGAGTGATTTGAGATGTTTAGGAGCATTGTGATCCAAAAGGGGCTGAAAGATGAGCATGGATGGAGCCTTTAAAGAAATCTTATGTTGCTAAGAATTTGTGGAGACACATAAAATTGAGTTAGCTTTCTAATGGAAGTGGTTTTAAGTCGTTTGAAGATGTAATGAACGAGTTATGACCAATTTACTAGAAGCATATCCATCATGTTCGGGCATCCTGGAGCAGGGTAATGGCAGCGGGGTCAGGGGGTCGTCGGCCCAGACCACAGTGGGGTCATGGCAGCGGGGTCAGGGGGCCGCTCGGCTAAGAAAACACCCCACAGCGGGTTGTGGCAGCGGGGTTGTGACCCCGCTGTGCGCTTATGTTTGGACTAAAATACTTGCATTCGAGGACCTTTTTGCAATTTCGTTTTTTAATGTTTTGAGTTGGAAAAACCTAAGTTTAAGTACTCTTTGTAGCCTACCAGGCAGATGATCTTTGTTCTTGAAGAGAAACCATTGAAAAACCGTTGTTTTACTTGTCTATTTTCATCATCTACATGATTAAGCTTGAATATAACATGGATTTAAGAGTAATCATGATGATCAGTGAGTAGATCACCATTGAATTCATGGGTTAGGGAGATTAAGGGTGATTAGTTTAGATCTAGGATATTTTAGTGTAGATTTCTCGTGTTCCTTGCTAGTAGTAATCCTAATGCTTCTTTTGAGTTAGCCACTCAAAGGTTGATCTCTAGACATTTCCCACCCACAAAGTGTTCGATGAAATGTCTGAGTCAAGTCCCCTAAGCTTTTAACATCCTTTACCAGGGACACTTGTTGTTAAAGGTGTTAAGATAGCTATTAGACTTATTCTTAATGATTGCTTTCACAATATTCAACCGAAGACATTTGATGCTTGAGTTGTGTTAGTAAATAAACATTCATCTAGACATAGAGCTTGTAGAATTGTGTCTAGGCTTAAGGTTGATAGTTTAATTGATCGCTTGCCATCCTTAGTTCGAAACTTGATCACCCAAGGTCTAATCCCTATACCCATGAGTTCTCCTTTCTCTTAATCAAAGAAGTTGTTTTAATTATCGCTTTTCTTATTCTTAGTTATAGTTTAAAACCATCAATTATTCGATTTCACTTAGATTAAGCTAGTACTTGCATTCTCAGTGCTTTAAAATCCCTCAGAACTGGTTCGACAATCTTCTATACTACATCATTTGCCTTAGGAGCCTAGAAAACTCCTAACATCAAATTGGCGCCGTTGCCAAATTCTGAGTAGATTTAAACATTGAGATTTAGTCACTTGCTTGAGACTAAGTCATTTTTCTTTTATTTTGTTACTGATTCTTCATCTTCATCTCTCTTTGGATTTCAGGTGTATGAACTTGAGGAGCAAAGGCACAACAAACCTTGTTCCAAGAGTTCCAGATATCCGGGCATTTGAAAGAGAGATAGTAAGACAGAGAAAACAAGCAGAACAATCGGTTCAACAACAGAGGTTGGATACTGACATGGCTAACCCACCGCGCCCAGCTCGCCCCATTGGTACCTATGACCGCCCAAACCTTCATGGCAACAGGTTGGGAATCCGAGCACCAGCTGTGGAAGCCAACAACTTTTAGGTCAAACCAGGACTCATCAACGTGATCGAAAACAACAAGTATCATGGCTTGCCTGTAGAAGACCCATTTGATCAGTTGGACAAGTTTGACAGCTACTGTGGGTTGTCAAAAATCAATGGTGTGTCTGAGGATGCCTTCAAGCTCAAGCTATTCCCTTTCTCTTTAGGGGACAAGGCACGTCAGTGGGAGAAGTCTCTACCCAGCGACTCCATCACCACTTGGGATGACTGCAAGAGAGCATTCTTAGAGAAATTCTTCTCTACTTCAAGAACTGCTAAGTTGAGAAATGAGATCTC